AATTCGGGTCGTGACCAGAGCCGCGGAACAAATTAAGTTCGTGACCCGAGGTACCACTGTATTGATATTGGGCAAACCCCCCCAGTAACCTAGAGACAATATCTTATTTTTTCAAACAAATTGTAGTGAAGACTAACTGAAAGTGAATGCAAATCTCAAAATCTGATCAGATCTTTAGTGTAAAAAAAAAATGACACTAAGTTTACAAGCTATTAGGAGATGAGACTTTGAATATACTGTATAATACAACAAAATAGTACAAAATAAGAAAATGCATTCTCCTTACCACAAATAATTTATATATGGACTTCAGTAATTTTTCTTTATGCTAAAGATTTGATTTTTAGAGCACAGAGTATAATTTTTGGAACTACTCAGTGAAACTGTATATACTTGCAAATGGAAAGGATCTTTTTTTTTCAACACCAACATCAAAACGGATCAAACTAAATGATAATTTCTTACCAAAAATTGCAAGGAAACCTCTACTTCATAGTATGTTATAGTATCTTCTAATTTACCCTGAAATATTCTAAATGTTGCTTCAAAAATTTAATCCTTATTGGAAAATTATCAATTCTGTGCAAAAAAAGTAGTTTGATTTGATAAGGATCAATTTTATATAATATAAACCAAATGGTTTTGAAATTATGCATATAAGCTCTCAACTTGGCCAATTAAGTTTCTTCTCTCAGAGTATTATAGACTTCATTCACAGTGACAGAAAGCTGGTCATCAACAAATCTATTTTCTAAGATAAGGAAAAGAAGTCCCAAGTATATATATTATACTACAAAACATTATTATACAAGCTCAAAGTTTTGTTCAAAGGACAAAAAGAAAATAAAGTAAGGTAATTCCATTAAAAAAGGTACATTTTCAACTTCTCTTATTGTTCAATGAATACCGTACATGCAGAAGGAAACATAAGTAACATTATGGAAGTATATCTTTTTAGCAAGCATTATGAGGCAAAACTGTTTTAAAATAATTCTGAATCCAACAAAGGGCAATGCCAAGTTAATTATAATTTAGTTACCTTGTGCTTGGGGCACCTCACTGAGAAATTATCTTCATTTAGTAAACAATCTAGAAGAGAAGATAACAACAGAATATCAAGAGTATTTCTAAGATCAAATGGAACCAAACAATTTCACAACCTGCATGAAGAAATCTTAAACGAATACTTGACAATAGTACTGAATGTGCTTCTTCACCTATATAATACACATGATCACATTATAGTAAAAAGTAACATCTAAAGGGGAAATGTGCATCTCTAAAACCATGATAAGCATATATTAAAGCTAACAGAAACTCTTGGGAATGTGCTAACTGAATAGAATGGTTCATACACAATTCTAAACCACATGTGATTTTACTTTTGGCTTGGCATAGTACATGAATCAATCCATTATAACTTTGCTTTAATGTGCAAACCAAGTCACTATAGCTTATTCAAACTTAAAAAATATTGGCTAAGCATTACATGTGAACTCAGCCAGTATTTCAAAGAACACCTCTCCCCTTTAAATATACTTTGTTAGGCCAAACAGAGCTTTGCAAACAGATTTTTTTTCTCAGTGCTGTGACAGAGGGTTTTTAAATAGCCAGATTCCAAGCTCAACCACGCAGCAATAAAAAAACATCCTAGGCATCCTTTTCTCAAAACACACGTACAATTCAAGCTTTAGAGATTTGTGTATAAATTTTTTTCCAACTGTTCTCTGGGCTGAGGTGAATCTAATGCTAATAGCCTTCTGGAAACCATTAATGGATGCAGTCCTCACAAATCCTTACAACCGCCAGGCAATTTTCATGGTGATAAAAAAGCATGTGATATATCACATATAATTATGTGATTTAATTATACCTTACTGCTGTTGAAATCTTTTGGAAAAGTTATACAGTCAGCATGAACCTGGCAAAGAAAAAAAATTGTAACCTCTCTGATCCTGGCTCAGCTTTGCTTCAATATTATAAAATATTATACGTTATATATTTGCTTTGAGCTGTATAAAGAAAGCTTGCAAAAGAAAAAAATGCAGTTTATTAAGATAAAGTTCCTTTCAGTTGGTAGCTAATTTCAAAACACAAGAGATACTAAATGATTCTACAGTTTACAGTATGATACCGTACACATAAAGATAGCTTTCACTAAACTGGAATCTTCAAAAACACAAATTAAATTTTTTTTCTCTAGAATATTATTACTTGTTTAAAAACTGATTTTTAAAGTACCTTCAAGCATGAACTGTTATAAAACAAATCTGATCAGCCCAACAGTCTTTCTAGTCCAAACATCATCTTGAAGAAGCCTGATCTGTTGGAATATTTTCCCTTTAACAATCTAAACAACTCTTTTTTCAGTAATTATTCAGCAACTATCCTTTTTCTAAAACTATCATGGCTTTCCAATTAGCAGCAATTAGTTGCTTGGATTAAAGGCTAACTCACCTTTTAATAAATGAGTAATGAATAAATAGTAGTCTATTAGTAGAAAAAGTTTAAATTAATGATGAATCAAGGTTAAAAAAATCTACACTGCTAATATGAAATGTTTAAAAATATTTATTTCCAAAGATAGCAGTTCCCAATTTTTTACAAAGCAAAGATATTTGAATTGAAAATGTCAGTTTATGTGATGGAATGGAATTATGAAGACCGGACTCAGGGAGGGAAACATGCTCTTTCGTCTCCTGAGGGGCGAGGAAGAGATAAGAGGATG